CCACGAAGCCCTCCCCTTCCGGCTCCCCCAGCTGAACGAGCGTAGGAAACCGCTTGGGGGCGGCCATGCCGCGGCGAGCCTCGCAGGGGTCTGTAGATCCGCTGCCAACCGCCGGCCGCGCGTGAGACCCGCCGCCGCAAGGGCCCCCCGGCCTTATATCCAGGGCTTCCGGCAAGCCCCTCCCCGACCCGCGCCCTCCTCATTGGACTCCAGGCCTCGCCTCCGAAGCCCGCAGCCGCGGCTTCTTCCCCGCAAGGCGCAGCTGCGCTGGGGCGCGCGCCCAGGGCGCTCTCGCTGGGCGGTAGCATCTGCATCCTGCCGCTTCCCCGCGCGCCAGGCTGGAGGCCACAACCGGGAAGCTGCGGAAGCCTTAACTGTGGACGCTGGGCGGCCAGGACAGCCCCAGAGACGTAGGGAAGATCCAACGTCGGGCCGACAGCTTTCAGAGGAGCGAATCGGTATTTGCAGAGACCCGGGTGCCTTTCAGACAGTTCTAATGGGACCAGTTTAGCGTTCCCGAGGCGTTGGAATAAATTTTAATGGAAAATCTAATTAAGTACGTCGGAAAAACAAACGCTCAAGGAGCAGAAAAAGGTATTCGGAGGCCAAAGTAAGCCCCTCCCCACTTCCTCTTGGACCCTGACCACTGAGCACCCTCCCCAGATGCCACTGCATTTCCCGCTTCTGCCTTAACCTGTGAGAGACGGCTGCGCACACCCAACAGCGCCTGGTCCGTGTGGTCCCTCTGGCACCCCAGAGGGAAATCCCTTGAAAGTAACACGATTATAGCTCCATTTCTTGATTTTTCTGTCCAGCTGAAAGCATTGCCTATTAACTGCTGCCCAGGAAGATGAAGGTACATAGCTCTCCCACCAGTGGTTGGCGTATCATGCCAGATCCAGCGGCCAGAGAGCCTCGGAATTCAGTCAGGCTCCTTCTTGTTTGCTCTGCGGCCAAAGAAGTGCATGAGAAATTTGCAGGTGTTTGACAGGGTTTAAAGTCTTTAGACCTAAGCAGAATATGAATTAGGAGCCAAAGAAGGGCTCCTTTAAAGGATCCATTCAAAGCCTCACGGATGGGATAGACTTATAAACGTCCGTGGGTAGACAGAACAATTAGGAGAGTGTATAACTGAAACCCAAGGATCTGGGCTCCGTCACCACCTCCCCTGTAGGTTCTGGGGGCCACTAACATAGCAACTAGAAATTGACATGTGAGGTCCCATCAGTATCACCAATGAGAATCCAATTCAGGAAGCATCCCCATGAAAATCTCTAGTCTGAAATGTTTCTTCTATCAAAATGATATAGGATGATTTTTTTTCCCTTTGGCCACACAGCATGCTCGATCTTAGTTCTCCCACCATGGATCAACCCCTGCTCCCTGCAATGGAAGCACAGAGTCCTAACCACTGGACCCAGGGAATTCCCTAGACGATATTTTTGTTCTTTGGTTGGCCTAAGAGGATACTGGCAGTTCTATGCATGTTAATGTCATTTGTGTGTGTGTGTGTGTGTGTGTGTGTGTGTAGAGATCCTTTACTTCACTGAAGTTTCAGAATTGGGTAAAGAAATGCTTAAGAGAATTTAAACCATAGTATTACTAATTGTGTTAAAAAGGAATCTGTCATTTATGTAAAATCCTAGAATATGCAAACTAATCTGTAGTGATAGAAATCAGGGAGTGATTGTCTGGAGATGGGGTGGAGAGAGGAAGGGAGTGGAAAAAGGCACTAGGATACTCTCGGGGGATGATGGAAATGTGCATTATCTTGATTACAGTGGTGGTTTCACTGGATGTGTCTGTATGTCAAAACTGGTCAAATTGTACACATTTTAGTATAAGCAGTTTATTGTACTTTAGATATTCTCCAAAGTGGTTTAAAAAAAGAAAGAAATCCATATGCATGGTGTTTTAGGTTCCCGTAATATTTTAGATAATTTAACATATTAGAGAGACAGTTTTGCAACTCCAGTTTAAAATACATAATTAAGTAATGGATTTAGATGTGTGACTTTAAGATAAAATCCTAGTTTATATTCAGTATTGGGTCACTGAAGAGAACTTCAGGTTCAACGTATTGTTTCATTTATTTGGTTTGAGGGTATTAGTAATTGGGAAGTTGTTATTTGATTAAAGTACTTCTCAATCTTTTTGCCATGTATGAGGATGTTTAGTTAATTAAATATGTCAGTGGGAACTTGTGCCATTCAGAGGCCATTAAACATAATTGTTAAAACTTTCTAGGCTTATGAATAGCATAGTAAGGTTTGAAAGTAAAACTTGAAAGCTTAAGGGAGGACTGGTGGTTTGGTTTTTATAATTTGAGAAAATAAAATATTAATTTTCAAAGAAGTCTAAACACTCTTTTGAGTGCACAGAAATCACTCTCACAGAAATCATTCTCAACATCTTTCACTGTCTTCCTCCAGCTTACCTAGACTCATCAGACCTGGTATCCTCCCAGTTCAGTTATACAATTTTGTTAGAACAGTATTCAAGTTTATACTATTGTGGTCTTGTAAACAATATTCATAGCTGCATATAGTTTACTATGATTTCTTGCACAAACTTTTGTTTTTCTTGATGTTATAAATTCCTTCTTTGTTCAAATACTACTTTTTATTTTTTCAAATGCTTATTTGTCTATGTACTCCTTCATTCCCAAACTCTCCCCAAATGTGTAAATGTCTCTCCAGGACTTCCAGTGGCACAGCAGGCTCTTTATCAGTTCATCCTCACAGTATTGCTCCTGCAGTCTTTTTTTCTTTTTTTTTTTTAATTGAAGTATAGTCGAGGTACAATATATAAATTCCAGGTGTACAATATAGTGATTCACAATTTTTAAAGTTGTACTCTAGCTCCTGCAGATGTAACTGCTTTTATCTAAGCCAGCTACTCTCTGGGACCCCCTCTGGATTACTAGAGCCTTTTCTAGTAAGGCTCTCTGGATGCCATGACTTACTTTTTATTCTTGCTTGTTTTTTTTTAAATTTATTTATTGTATTTTTAAATTTTTTTGGCTGCGTTGGGTCTTCGTTGCTGCGCGCAGGCTTTCTCTACTTGCGGCGAGTGGGGGCTACTCTTCGATGTGGTGCGTGAGCTTCTCATTGCAGTGGCTTCCCTTGTTGCGGAGCACGGTCTCTAGGTACGTGGGCTTCAGTAGCTGTGGCACACGGGCTTAGTTGCTCCACAGCATGTGGGATCTTCCCGGACCAGGGCTCGAACCTGCGTCCCCTGCATTGGAAGGCGGATTCTTAACCACTGCGCCACCACGGAAGCCCGCTTGTTTTGTTTTTTATATTTTGGAGTAGTGGTGATAGCATTCAGGCAAAAATTATTAAATTGATACAGGTATAATCATCTTCAAGATGATCCTCGTGGTTCCTAGTGTAACTTATCTTTCCTACTTTCTTTCTTTCTTTTTTTTTCCCGCTTTGTTTCTGATTAGCTTCCAGAAAGCTGGGAATGAACTAACTGAATTCCAGGAAGGAGGCAGAGAATTAGAAGCAGAATTGCAGGAAAAATTGGTACAGGCTGAAGAAAGAAATTGACACTTGCAAGCTGATAACCAGACTGAAATATGAAGTGGACGCATTCAAGGTAATTGTGGTAGTAGAAGCTGGTGTCTACTGTGCCGGGTTGATGAAAATGAGAAATACATTTTTTCAGGTGGAGCTTAAGAGCAGTGGGCAGCAACAGCAACAAAAATGTAAAAACAGGTTGCAAGTGAATTTTTGAAATAAAATGTTTTATTTCATGGAACCCAGGGAAAGGTGGTTTAGAGTTTAGAAATCCACTTGGAAACCTCATAGCTGTCAGTTTTCTAGCTATAATGTTCCTAGGTATAATATTGTATCCCTATAATTTTCAAAGGCTGTCTAATTATTTGACAATAGATTGCTTCGTTCTATAGTACTTGAAAATTGTACATATATGTGAAATATGCATTTATTTCATCGTTGTTCGTTATCTCCTCAGTTTTGGAGTCTAGTTTGGGTTAAGATATTAGCTTTAAAATGGAATTTTCAGCAGTAAAAGGATTAATCCCTTTCTTTGCACTTCACTACCTGCCTTAGCCCAATGCTTGGGAGTGTTTCTGTGTCCAGGGAGTGGGTGGGTTTGGGGAAGGTGGGGAGGTCAGTAAGGATAGGGAATTTGGACTCTGAGTGGTAGTCTACCCTGGGCTTACCCGGGCTGCATTTAGCCTGAGAACCCAGAGGTTCCCACACCAAGTTCAGGGTTTTTGAGGCAATGCTTTCATTATTTTACTTTTCTTCAGAGAGAGACTTCCTTTCATTCTGATGAAGCCAATCCTCTGTCATTTCCTAAGGAAGAATGCGTGTCTGAAAATATTTTCATTCTGTTTGCACAGCTAATTGGACATTTGGCTATAGATTCTTGACTAGAAATCATTTTCCCCTCAAAATTTCATGGTTTGCTTCAGTGTCCCCTAGCTTCCAGTGATGCTTTTGAGGAGTTTAAGCCTTTCTGATTTTAACCTCTGGGAAATGTTCTAAAATTAGTTTGTTCATCATTTTTTCGCATCTGTTTTCTCTTACCTCTTTCTAGAATTCCTGTTTATTCAAAAGTTGGCCTCTGCATCCATATTCTTCCTTTTAAAAAAATTTTCACCTCTTTGCTTTATGCTGTTTGGGGTTGTCTGGTAAGCACTAAAGCTTGGGAACTAAGTGGAAGCTGGAGCATGGGGGTTTGTCTGCACCAGACATGGGCTGAGGGCAGTGTGCAGTCTCTTAGGTTTTCCCGCCAGGTTCTCCACTGGGTTGGCTGCCCCTGGAGAGGTTGCAGGCCCATCTCTGCATTCCTTGCAGCTGTCCTGCTGCCCACAGTTCGTCCCTGCACTTGGAGCTGGTGTCCCAGACCACTTTGCAGGTGAGAGTGAAGACAGGCCTGTGTATTTATGAACATTAGCTTGGCCGGCTCTCTAGCCCCCACGTCCCACACAGAGCGGGCTGGGCGAAGGGAGGGAGGGGCCGGGAATGGATTCCCAGCCTGGATCCCCTTGCCTCCGGTCCCCCCAGCCGGAGCCCACCCCAATCCCTCACA